TACTTTGGTCAAATATAGATGTGTGCACATGAGAAGCAGTGTGGTGTGCAGATTTGGCCCTTGAGTCAGGAAGACCCGGATTCTTCCTGATGCTTACTGGCTATGTGACCCTAGGCAAAGTATTGAACCTCTATTTTATATGCATATGTATTCACATATATGAATAGATGTGTGTGCATGTGTAATTAATAAAGCATTGATAGAACTGTGAACTGGTTCAACTATTATGGAAAGCAATTTTGAACTATATGAAGAGTCACTAAACTGTGCATACCCTTTGACCCAGCAATACCACTACTACACTTATATAGCCCAGTGATCAAAGAAAGGGGGAAAGGACCCACATACACAAAAATATTTGTAGCAGCACTTTTTATTATAGCAAAGAAATGACAACAAAGTGGCTGCTGTTGAAAGAGGAATCTGGGGAGCCGTGTGCTCTGTTGAGAGTTGACATTTTGTCAGGTTGCCACAGCTCAGGATCAATTCGCATCAGGCTGTGTTCTCCAGGAACTCCCTTCAGTCTCTAACTGCTTTGTGATTCCCTGAGGGCCTTCCCCTCCCAGATTGATTTTTTATTTTTGACTAGGTAAAAGAGGCCATTCTTTGTCTTATTTCTTACCTAGCCTTCACCGTTGAATGGGCATTGCCTCAGACAGACTGAGACCTGTTAAAGACCTTAGCTTAAAAAGGTCTCCCACTGCATCCAGGGCCGTCTCCAGTCGACCTTATCTATATCTTGCCACTGGACCCAGATCGCTCCCGAGGAGAAAGTGTGGCTGGTGACTTTGCACAGCCTTGTCTCACTTGAATCCAACTCACTTGCATGTCCTGGCCTCACGTTCCTGAGGTCATGGTCCTCTTCAAACACAGAACAAACAACAGCTTTATGATCACAAAAGAAGATTTAGTGGACTCTGATAGCCCATGAGAGTCTGGCACAACTCTATTTTATCTGATAAACGATGTAAGGTTTCCTTTGATCCTTCCTCTTCTCCGGAACTAACCAGCAAGTCTACTGTTTGCTAATGGTATAAATGTCACCAACCAAATTACAAGATACATCCATCAACTTCTGATGGCATATCACTCTGAATAAACTTCAGTTTTACATCTCTCTGCATCTATTGGCATTACCCAATCAATGTACCTCTGGATATCTTGTCATGGCCATCTATTGGGAAATGGATGAACAAGTTATGGTATATGAATGTTGTGATGGAATGCTATTGTGCTGTAAAAAATTATGAAAGCTATGGTTGCCAAGAAATCTGGGAAGAATTGTATGAATGGATGTAGACTGAAGTGAGCACAACCAGGAGAAGAGTTTTATAGAGTAACAAAAATATCGTCAAGAAAAACACCTTTGAAAGACTTGAGAACTTTTCCCCATTACCACCTTCATTTTCTAATGTCTCAAAAGCTATGGAATGCTGTGAGTGTAGTCATCTTCTCAACATTATGGAAAATACAAAAATTTCCTCTTTTCAATCTCAATGAAACCTTTCCTTCTATTGAATTCAAAGAGACAAATGGTTACTAATTTAGAGCACTCAGTACCTCTAATGATCTCTTTGGCAAGAGAATTCTGGTTGATGCAATGACCAATCACAACTCCAGAAAACTGATTCCATATAAAGCAGGCACCCAATAAATGTTTGCTGATTGACTAAATGATGGATAGATTGATCTGGAAATAAAAAATAATAGTTGTGGGAGTGAATGAGCTCCAGAGGAAATGATGTAAGGAGAAAAGAGTAATGAATCAGGACTGAACGATTGGGGGAATATATTGGTGGGGGGCATGCAGGACAAGGAAGAGAAAGAGTCAACAAAGAAAAAGGAGGGGAGGTCAGAGAGGTATGTAGCAAACTGTGACAGCATATTGTAAATTTTCTCCATGACCTTTGCCACTTCTGGCCATATCTGTGACTATAAACAAAGTCCCTGACCTCATCGGGAAATACATTTCTTCATCTGTAAAATGAGGGGATGTTAGAGTTGTGTCTTAGCTGTATTTATTACCTATGACACACACTTTAACCTTATGTCACCTATGTAAAAACACTTTGTGTGTGGGTGGTGGGGGGTTGGAATATACATACATAATTCACGCATCCACATATATATGTATATATGCATGTGTATGTATGTATATACATATACATATACATATACATATACATATACATATACATATACATATACATATACATACATATACACTATTTGTTCTGGGACACACATCTCCTTCAGAACAATGCTAGTTATTATTTGAGGTTTGGATATTTTTGGAATTGTAATTTCAAAAATCTATTATTAATTCTAAGTAGACAGAACAATAGGGCTGGAGTCAGGAAAACCTGAATTTATTTCCTGCCTCAAGACATTTAGTAGCTAACCTCTCTGGGCCTCAATTTGCTCATCTGTAAAATGAGGATAATAGCTCCTACCTCACAGGGTTACTCTGAGGATCAAACTGGATGATATTTTTAAAGTGCTTTGAAAACTTTAAGGTGCTATATAAATACTGATTATTGTAATTATTGTTACTATCATCATCATTATTATTATTAATTCAAGTAGGTCAGGATTTTAGAAAAAATGATAGTAACTTGAAAAATCTAGTTCTATAATATATTTATAAAATATATGAATGTATAAATTACATACAATATGCTTACTCCATGTGGAAAGGGCAAGCTGACCTGAGGTTGTAAGTAGCAGCTGACCCCACATGTAAATATTTTGCAAATGCCTGCTTACCACAGGTCTGTGTATGTCACCTACAAAGATTAATCAAGCCACATCATGCAGGATAGGAGGCAGGAGCAATGCTAGAAGGAGGGAGTTACAGTAGGAGATTATTGCAGTAGCCTAGGCGTGAAGGGATGAGAGCTTGAACCCATGTGGCAGCACAGGCAGAGAAAGGAAGGGCAAATGCACAAAACACCTCAAAGGTAGAATCAACAGAATTGAATAGCTGGCAGAACATGTGAGGCAGGAGGATGAGGGGAGAAACAATGTTACCTTAATTCTAGGGTCCACAGCAAGAGGAGAGTGGCAGAAACATTACCAGAAAAGGGGAAATTAGAGAGCAAAGCAGGGGCGTGCTGATAAATGTTTAACAACTGGCCCTCAAAAAAAATGTACCAAGACACTTTAAGTTTAATCTGCGTTTCTGACATCTACTCCATCATTTTCTGAAGTCTAGACAATCAAAAAGCAATCAATCAAACCCTGGCCTGTAGCATTTGATTTTCAAGGTGTAAATGCTCACACCGAAAATTTAACAATTGGCTCTCCTCACCTCTAGGAGTTGGATCCAGCATTCCATTGGAGCAAAGCCAGGCTGGAAGAAAAGATAAAGAGCGTGTCTTTGCTATGCTGGATTTCCTCTTCTCCCTTTCTGGAAAATCAGATGTGGTTGAGATATTGCCAAAAATGAGATGCCTTATCTTGTCTGAAAATGGGGAGCTTCGTCATCAGGGCCTTCCCTGCAAGGGACATCACAGGTCTGGCCCCTGTGCTCAGAATTCCACATAGTGTCTGATGGATTAGAAAGCTAGAATTGGCATTGGAGGAAGCGATGGAAAGAGCCTGTCTGGCAGCCAGAGGGCAGAGTGGATTGAACGTTAGACTTTGAGCCAGTAAGACCTGAGTTCAAATCTCACCCCAGTGACTCACTATCTATGTGACATTTAACCTCTATCTGCCTCAGTGTTTTTGTGGGTTTTTTTAATCTGTAAAATGGGAATAGTAACAGCACCTACCACTCAAGGTTGTAATGAAGATTAAAAGGAGTAGTATTTGTAAAGCACTTTACGAACTTTAAAACTCCATGTGCTATATGCTATTATTATTAGAGAAGAAAAGTTTAAAGATCTATATATGTGTATGTGTGTATACATACATACATATACATATATACATACATGTGTGTATTTCCTATCATTACGGGGTGGGGGGGGAGCCCAGTGTAGGGAATACAGATGGCCCCGGGGAGGGGATGGAGTGGAGGGGAAGGGAGGGAGCACTGAAGCAGACTGATTTGATCACAGTATCGATGCTAGGAAGGAATGAGAAGCAAGGTTGATCTGTAGGGCCGTGAGGGCTGGGCAAGGCTGGGTTTGATGGGTGAAAGGAGCCATGAGAGGGTGGGGTCTCATAAAAATAGAAGTTTTCCCACTGTGGTAGCGCTCTGGGATCCAGGGAACTCTGCAGTCTGCCTCTTACTGAATCAAGCAGCTTTGAGCTTTAGCTAAGGGGACCTCAGGGGCGCGTGCACTGGCAGAAACAAAATGATGACCTCTCGTCCACACTAAAGCCGAGCTGGAACCCATGATGCCACAAGCCCCTCCACGAAACGACCACAGCTGGGCTAAAGTCCAGGTTAATCCGGGCAGCCCGCGGCCGCCTCCGGGCACTGCTTGGCTCCCGATCTATCCTCGCTAACAGCGTCCCCAGGGAAGCTAAGGGGCTGGCGCTGGGTGCCCCCGACCAGAGCCCATGAGCTGGATTTCTGTGACCCTTCTCCTGGGTCAGAGCGGCTCAGTTGGCAGCGGTGATGACGGGTGAGGAAAGCAAGGCAGAGGTGACCCAGAGCGCTGGCACTGCCAGGAGAGGGCATTGGGAAACAGGGAGGGGAGGGGAGTGGCCCACCTCCGCCCAGCCAACCATGGGCCGCCATGACGTCAGCTTCTCAGGATATAAATAAAGCTCTTGTAGGGGAAACTTTGCTTTTCCCCCTAAGTTTATACAAACGTCTCTGAGTGGTTGCTCGGTGGGGGAAAGTATGCTAGGAGCCCGAGGGCTCCCTGTAGGGTCTCGTTCGTGGCCCGGGAGCTGAATGGCTTTAATTATTACGGCCGACTCAAAGGCTCCTCTTCTGGGAACGCCAGGCAGGCCAGTACCATTTGTTACATCACACAGTGCACGGGGGGGGGCGGGGCGGGGCGGGGCGGGGGGGGCGTGCCAGCCCTGCCTGTGGCCATGCTAATTTTGTTACAGGGTACACTGAAAAGACCAGAGGACCTGGGTTCAAATCCCAGCTCTGCCGCTTACTTCTGGTGGGACCTCGGGTAAGTCACTTAGCCTCTGGACCTCAGTTTCCTCATCTGTAAAATTAATGGGATAGACTGTGGGGTTCCTTTTGGCTGTAGATCCGTGATCCTATTGTCTGCTAGCCCAAGACAGCTTTCTTACAGAAGTGTACCACTGTCCAAAAAAGGGTCCAAGGATAGTATAGACAGAAGGATGTAAAGAGGAGTTTGAGAAATGCTGAATAACAAATCAGTAGAGCAGCTAGGTGGTAAAGGAGATAAGAGAGCTTGATCCTGAGTCAGGAAGATTCATCCTTGTGAGTTCAAATCTAGCATCAGACACTTACTAGCTGTATGACTGAGCAAGTTCACCTGGATTTCCTCATCTGTAAAATGAGCTGGAGAAGGAAATGGCAAACCACTCCAGGATCTCTGCCTAGAAAACCCCAAATGGGTTCACAGAGAGTCAGACATGACTAAAAGGACTCAACCACAAAAATTTACATGAATGGAGAGAATCCTATCACTGGGAATGAGTTCCCTACACCATTGAAATCAAAGGTCCGGGCAAAAAAAAAAAGTATGAGTGGTTGTTACTGAGAATTAAAGTGCAGGTAAATGAAGTGGGAGTTACACAGGTTTTATGTAAATAATAACCCACAACAGATGGATCTGGCCCCTGCAGCAGCTGCAACAGGCTTTATTCTTGAATTAAATTTTAAAATAAGGACCATCCATTTAAAAATGGCAGCAGACAACATTTCACCATTGTTTGAGGATAATTCTGAAGGAAGGTTTTACAAGCAAAACAAAAGCACTTCAGGGTGTGTCCGGCGGAAATGTGCCAAGTGACTTCAGCTAAGAAATGGCACCAAACTTCCCTTCTAACGCACATAAGGTGTGGCAATATCTGTGACGCATCCATGGTGCTCTGGTTGCCATGCTGATTCCCCAAGAAGGTCCTAGGTTTTGCCCAATTTTCCAATGTTTTCACCTCACACACATACAGTAAACATATATGTGTATATATACATGTATTTTATGTATATATTTATATATGTGTGTGTTCATGTGTATTTAGGGCAGCTAGGTAGCGCAGTGGATAGAGTTCTGAGCCTAGAGTCAGGAAGACCTGAATCCAGCCTGAGACCCTTGCTAGCTTTTTGGTCCTGTGCAAGCCACTTAACCTTGTTTGCCTCAGTTTCTTCATCTGTAAAATGAGCTGGAGAAGAAAATGGCAAACCACTCCAGTATTTCTTCCAAGAAAACCCCAAATGGGGTCATGAGAGAGTTGGACATGACTGAAACGACTCAATAATAAAATTATATGTATTTATGCACATATTTATATGTACACATATATGCATATTATGTGTGTGAGGTAAACATGTGTACACACATATAAACACATGTGCCTGTATTTAAATTTATATATACACATGTGTGCATAGATATCTTTTTGTGGGATGGAGATACAGAATTAGCATTTAGGTTCTACTAATTTGCCTTTGGAATTCCAAAGGCACACATATATGTATATGTGTAGACATATGTGTATATATGTGTAGACATACACACAGACACACAGACATAAAAATACCCCAAAGGCAAACACCAGTTCTTTATCTCTATTCCACAAAAAATAGATAAGATTCACAGCTGTTATAGTAGACTAGAGGTGAAGAATTGTCTTATTTGACAGATGGAAAGGTCTAGCATGTCATCAACAGAAATACCAGACAGAAGAAGAGATGAAGGTAGGTATTACCTCAAATCTGGGCATAAATTAGCCATTCAGTACATTTTCCAATATTTGACAACCCTGCAGACCACTGTGAGTGGTCCTTTTTGCTTTTCAGCCCTCTCTGAATGGGGAATGGACTCAGTTTTCTGAGAGGATGTACCCAGAACCCTTTCCCTCTGACTCTATGAGAAACTGAAGAGTTGTGGTCAGGGAAGAGCAGTTTCATGTTATTAATGGAGAAGGGAGGGGAATCAGAATTAGATGAAGGATAGGCAGGTGAGAAGCATGAGCTGGATTCAGGGAGGGAAAGGCCTTCTTTGGCCCTGCAACAGCATTTCTTTCTCATTATCATTTAGGATGCACAGTACGCTAGGTGCCCAGTGGATAGAATGCCGGCCCTAAGTTCAAATGTGACCTCCTACACTTACTAGTTATGTGACCTTGAACAAGTCACTTAACCCTGTTTGCCACAATTTCTTCATTTGTAAAACGAGCTGGAGAAGGAAATGGCATACCACTCTGGTATCTTTGCTAAGAAAACCCCAAACGGGTCACGAAGAGTTGGACACAACTCAACAATTATGTAGGACCTCTTCAGACATCTACCAAGTACCAGTAGTAGTAGTAGTAGTAGTAGTAGTAGTAGTAGTAGTAGTAGTAACAATTATATGTATATAGCCTTTTTAAGGTTTTCAAAGCACTTTACAAATAGTATCTTATTTGATCCCTTCAACAACCCAGGCAGATAGGTGCTATTATTATCCTAATTGTACTGATGAGAAATTGAGGCAGATAGAGGGTAAATGACTTGCCCAGGGTCACTTAGCCAACAAGTGAAGATTTGAACTCAGGTCTTCTTAATTCCGGGTCCAGTACTCCATCCACTAAGCCACCTAGTGTTCTCAGATTCTTAATTTATGACCAGATGGAAATGACCAATTGCGACAGTGTTTAGTGAGATTTGAGTAATTACAAGCACCTTAGGGGCAGGACTTCCCTTGACTGGTGGGAGAGAGAAGACATAAGGTAGAGTTTATCCATCCAAGATGGATAGCAGATATGGGAAGTGATCTTCAAACAAAGGCTGCTAGATACCCACTAGTTGGGAACACTGTAAAGGAAATTCTCAGAAACAGGTGAGTGGAATGGACCCAGCACGGAAAGGATCTGGGTTTGAACTGTTTGCTATGGGTGTGACCTTGGGGTGAATGAATCTATCTCTTTGGGCCTCCATTTCCTGATATGTAAATGAGGGGTTGGACTAGATGATCTCTAAGGAGCCTTTCCCTGCTAAAGCCCATTAGTTTTAACAGAGATTAGAGCTTGATGAGCTAAAAGGAGAAGGCTCTAAGGTCAGGAGTCATAGACCCCTTTGAGGATCTGGTGAATCCTATAGACCTCTTCTCAGAATCACATTTTCAAATGCATAAAATGAAATACAAAGAGATCACAAAGGAAACTTTATATTGTGTCATGCTACATCATATCATATTATATCATAACTATATCTCATCTGGCAAAGCATATGGGACTCTCTCCTCATTGGTGGAGAGCAATACTCCGTGTCTGCATGAGGGGTGAGCCAGAGTTGGGGGAGAGCTAGAGAGAGAGAAGTTTTTCTCTTCCTTATCCTTTCTTCTAGTTTCAAGGGAGTCAGCTGGTCTCCAGCTTCAAAAGAGAATATCTGTGATGCCGACCTTTCTTCAGGTCGCTCAAGGGAGAGGAAAGACTCTGGGAAGAAACTGACATGATGGGAGCCCTCAGTCTTCATCCCAGCTTGCTACACTAGAGAGTTCAGGGAATTTCTCCTGGGGTGAGATCTGAGAGTCTCTCCTGGCTGAACTGACTTACCTTGCTCCCAATGGCAGAGCTCATCTACTTTGTGTATAGTCTGCAGTGTATTCTCATATGTATATTCTCTCTGATTTCTGTTTTGCTTTCAACTTGGATAATTGAGTTTCTTTGCCTTATGCTAGGTGTATTCCTTGTGGAACTGGTATTTGGTGGGAAAGGAATCAAGCCATGGGTATAAAGCTTGGGTCCCTTCTTTCCCATTAAAGGAACAGCAATCAGAAGAGTAGTTTGCATGCCTAGACTAGTAAGATTTAAGGAACCAGACAGAATTCTAGCCCAGAACCATTTCCTGCTGAAGAGAGCAGAGGAGTCAGTCTCAGGCCCCAACCTCCTGTCTCCCTCTCTGTTAGGAATCAAAGTCTCCCTTGGAGAAGGGTAGGGGAAAGAGATGCTAGAGATGTCTATTCTCGTCTCCTTGCAAGCCACATTGAGACAAGTATATACGTGTGTGTGTGTGCGTGTGTGTGTGTATACACCCATAAATGTACATACATGCGTGTGTATGCAGGTGTGCACATATGTGTGTCAGTATGTATTTACGGCAGCTAGGTGACCCAGATAGAGCACTAGACCTGAAGTCAGGAAAGTCCTCAGTTTAAATCTTGTCTCAGACACTTGCTAGCCGTGTGACCCTGGGTATCCGCCTTTGTTTCCTCATCTATAAAATGGGGATAATAATAGCACCTACCTTCCAGAGTTGTTACAGGTCCAAATGAGACAATACTTATAAAATGCTTGGCAAACCCTGGGGCAGCTAGGTGGCATGGTGGAGAGAGTCCCTGGCCTGGAGGCAGGAAGACTTATCTTCCTGAGTTCAAATCTGGCCTCAGACACTTACTAGCTGTGTGACCCTGGCAAGTCACTTAACCTTGTTTGCCTCAGTTTCCTCCTCTGTAAAATGAGCTAGAGAAGGAAATGGCCAACCAAGAAAATCCTAAAAAGAGAGTCACGAAGAGTCGGACGTGACTGAAACAGGCTCGACAACAACAGCAGCACGGGCAAAAGGCTCTAAGTCAGTGGTCACGGACGCCTTTGCTGGCTGCCTTCGGACAATCACAATGACAGCAATAACCATCAGACATCACAGAGTCCCAGAGGGGCTCTGCCGTTTGTCCATCTTCTCTTGTTGGGGAGGAAGAACTGGCGCTCCCATTCAGCATTTCAGTCTCTTTAATTAAAAACTGTATTCTGAGATGTTGAAACCAAGTTCTTCCTAGGGGGCCAAATAGGATGTGGGGGGCTCCTGAAGGCCTGATTCATTTCTTATGATTCTGTAAGTACAAAACACTCAGAAGGAGGTAATCAGAGAGCCTGCTAGCAACCACTACATGCAAAGGGCTGCTCGCAGCTGGGACACTGGCAGAGCCAAAGTTCTCATGGCAAGGAAGGTAAATGGCCTGTTTCTGTTCTCCCCCAGAGCTGTGGGGGAGCTGATTCTGAACTAGAAGAGGTCGGGGGTACACTTATGAATAGCAGGTACAATCTACAAGCGCACGTTAACACCCATGCCAGGCCAGGCTGGATTTCAGAGGTCATGGGAGGGTCGCCAAAATCATTCAAAGGATGCTACCCCGAAGAAGCCCCAAACTGGGCTGAACTTTTCAAGACACAAGCACATCTTGAACATGCCCAGGGACCTGGAGATTGTATTGGCCTAAAAGCCAGATGATTGCCGAGGTCTAGAGCTCATGTGGACTTGCAAACCTCGGCTCCGTTCAGAGCCCCAGGGCATATGCCAGGAAGTGAGGCCCCAGCGTGGACATGAGTGCAACTTATGAGGCTCCCCACGTACCTCCCCAGGAGGGGTGCAAAGGCTAATCTGACATTTCTTACAGACTCCATTTGGTCCTAAATGAGAACATCTGGAACAGATTTCATACTCAAATACCCCCCTCCCCCCACACACACATGCTCATGCACACACACACACACACACACACACACACACACACACACACATTTCATTTACTACTCTCCACCACATGTTTTACGTGCTGCTAAGAAGAAAATGTTCTCTGTTGTGAATAGCTCTATGTGAATCAAAATTTTAGGGCATACAATGAGTGTTATATTTTACATTAATAAAATCCATACATCTTTGGAGGAGCCCTTGCCAGAACAGGAGAGGCCACAACTCCCATGCTTCCAGAAGGACGGCCTCCTGCAGTCTCCCCACAGGGTCTGGCTCTTGGACCATCTCCACCCCAGCCCAGAAGGAACTAGGACTGCAATCTTAGCTCATACCCTCTGTCCCCTCCCCCCTCCCACTTTAGATAGCTGAGCCTTTTGCCTTCTCAAACCAGGACACCAGTGTGCCTGCTGTTCTTTCACCCCAGTATCCTTCCCTCCACCTTCCCTTTCTCCCACTAGAAAGCAAGCCCCCTGAGGGCAGGCACTGGCTGGATTCTTGTTCCCTGGTGCCTAGTACAGTGCCTAACATACAGTAAGCACATTCAGACTTTGTGATTCCCTACCCGAGTCTATCCTCTCTCTCTCTCTCTCTCTCTCTCTCTCTCTCTCTCTCTCTCTCTCTTCTCTCTCTCTCTCTCTCTCTCTCTCTGTCTCTCTGTCTCTCTCTGTCTCTCTCTCTCTCCCCTTCCTCCCTCCCTCTCCACTTCTCTCCAACCTTTCTCTCTCTCTCCCTCTTCCCACCTCTCTCTCACTATTTCTCTCTCTCCCCTTTCTCCTTCCCTCTCCACTTCTCTCTCCAACCTTTCTCTCTCTCTCCCCACCTCTCTCTCTCCATTTCTCTCTCTCTCTCTCTCTCTCTCTCTCTCTCTCTCTCTCTCTCTCTCTCTCTCTCTCTCTCTCTCTCTCTCTCTCTCTTTCCATTTCTCTCTCTCCCCTTCCTCCCTCCCTCTCCACTTCTCTCTCTCTCTCTCTTTTTCTCTCTCTCTCTCTCCCCCACCTCTCTCTCTCCATTTCTCTCTCTCCCCTTCCTCTCTCCCTCTCCATTTCTCTCTCCAACCTTTCTTTCTCTCTCTCTCCTTCTCTCCCATTCTCTCTTTCTCCTTCTCTGTCCATCTTTCTTCCTCTCCTCTGCATCTTCAGAAAGGTGTTTTTTCTTGATGACCCTGTGTTTTTTCCTTTCTCTGAATCCTCAGGGCTTACTTAGCACAGTTCATGGCACATAGCAAATGCTTGTTAGATGTTTACTGACTGACTGCTTGAGATTCAGTTTCCTCATCTGTGCAAAAGAAGGATGTGAATAATGCCAGCTTCAGCTACTTCACCTGGCTGTCATGCAGACCACGTAGGAAAGGCCAAAAGAAAAGTAGACTGTTATACTCAGAGAAATAACCTGGATTTGGCAACCCTTCTTAATAACTTCATTGAGGCCTTCACAAGTCAACCTGCCAGGTTTTCTTGAGGCCTCAGAGGAAAGTGCTGGGACCTGATCCCAGAGCGGAAAGGGCGCATTGGATTATCCAAGGCCAAGCTGAGTCGGCCCTGGGCAAAATCCTGAAAATGAAGTTCACCGTGTTTGTGTTTATTAGGACTCTCTTACGTGCCCCATCTTTGCCTCCCTCTACCCTTTGGCCCCTAGGCCATGCTTATCCTTCCCTCCGCATGGGCTCTTTGCGTCTCAGTTTCCACATCTGAAAAATGAAGGGGTTAGATTGCATGGTCTCTAAGGGCCTCCACTCTAAATCCCATGCTCCTGCGGAGATAAGGATTACCACTGGCATTTCCTATGTCATCTATGTGCCGTGAGAACCCCAGAACAACCAAGAGCCAGAGAATTTTAGAGCTGGTCAAGCCTTTGGTGGCCATGCAGTCCAACCTCAGCTGAGAAGGAAGTCTTCCTACAACCTTCCACTCCTGGGCCAGCACTCATTGTTGGGAAGCTGGTTTTCCTCCTGTTGTCAAGTTTCATTTGCTTGCCTCTTCGTGATTTCTACTCGTTGGTCTCCCCTTTAGGGCCAAGAAAAACCAAGTTTAATTTCTCTTCCATGAGCATATGTGCATCAGGAAGGGCTGCTGGGTTGGGAGTCAGAGGAGCTAGTCTCGGAACTCAGTTCTACCACTTTGCCAATGGTCTGGGGAAAGTCACTTGACCTTCCTCCATCGAGAATTTGCTCATCTGTGAAATGAGGAAGGTGAACTCCATGAGTACTCGGGTTCCTTCTCCCTTGCTCAAGACTGATGATCCCATGATCAAAGCAGAGCAGTCATAATGCTCAAATGGATCTGTGCCCTTGACCCAGGGAGGCAAATACAGGCCTGACCCTCATATGCAACCATGGCTTCTCATAAATTCACAACACAGGGACTACCCAATGTGCTGGGGGCTTTCTTTACTTTCCCTTGACATTTTCAGGAAACCAATGGAGTTTACGGGCTGCCCAATGGTTATTTGTCATTCCTGACAATAAAAATGTCATCTCTGTCAAGGCTCCAGGGCCTAGCCAGCACCAGTCTCTGGCCTTCAGCCCTGCTGGTACCCACTTCTTACCAGTCATAGCTGGTCACCTTCTGCCCCAGCCCTGCAGAGACCTTGACTCCCGCCCCCTATTCTTGGGCATCATTCCATTCAGCTTTGGGATTCTACCTAAAACTGGAGGGTGAGGGAGTCAAACCCTACCTTGGCCCTCAATATTTAGCCAGCCCTGACTATGCTTCATCCCATCTAGGCGTGCACTAAGGTTTTGCTAGCATGATCAGAGTGCCCCTCTGACCTGCCATTGCATACCTATCCTACCGGGCCTGACTTTTTACTTCTTGTCCAAGGAACACTGATCAAATCAGTACTCTCATTGCTGTTAGAAAGGCTGTGATCATCCCTGCGCTCACAACCCCTGCGCCTGCCTAGATCAAAGCTCCCTTCCCTCATGTGTGTTGTATCCCTTAGTCCTTGGACCAAGGGCTGTTTCGCTTTTGCATCTGTACCGCCAGCCAAGTACAAGGCCAGGCTGGTGTGAGGAACTCAATAAATGTTTGTTGAATGATCGAGATAGTACTATGAAGCACATATATTCTTAATATTAACTATATCATCAATGAGCATCAAAGTGAACTGTTGACCAGAGATATTCAACAATGCCTTTTTTTATAGGCTAGGAAAGGGAGAGATAGTCTCTAGTGCAGTATCTGGAAAGAGTATGACTCTCTCGTGAATCTCAAGCAGGAAAGTTCTGTCCATGCACAGATGATAGTACCAGCCCACCACATACCACAAATCAGATAAAAGTTTTGTGTTCTTTCTAGCAGTGGTAATGAGTTAGCATTGAACCACCCATCCTCTTACCCAGTCACCCCTTCTGATAAATGGCACGCTTTTGTTAAGCAGCTGGCCATTATATCACGTGTGCAACAACACCAAGCTAAATGTCCCATGCTCGGATAAGCCTCGTGGCCCTAGATGTTCTTTTAGCAATAGACACTTGACCAAGATGGATTGAATCAAGTCATAGAAATAAGGAAGCTTATATGTTACAGGAACCATTTCTATCTGTTTGGACAAAGTAGAAAGGGCTGGTGGAAAAGTGGTAAGATATTAAAATTTTTGAGAGATCAGAAAGAATTTTTTGAATGAACCTGCAAAGTTACCTGTGCAACATTTGTATTAAATATTTTTGTTGCTATAACTTTGGAAGTAATAAAGATCTCAATGAGAAGAGCCCTTTTCCTTCAATACATCAGAGCTCAGGGTTCCTAGAAGGGTCATGGAATCATAGAATAGAGCTGCATGGGACCTTGACCACCATCTGGTCCAATCCCTCTTTTTTGACATTTCAGAGCCAGGGGCTTTGCGTGACTTGTCCAAAGGCATGCAGTTAGAGCCAGAGGTAAGGCTTTGACCCAGACCCAGCTCTCCTAATCCTTCCATAGAAGTGCTATCACCCAGTCAGGAGTACCGAGCATCTCCTGAGGCCTGAAGGCCTCTTCAGATACCACTAGGGCAACATAGGGCAACACTGTTAGAGTTTCCTTCCAGAAAAGGAGCCAAAACAGAAATCTTTAGGGGAATAAATGCTAACGAAAGCTTATGTGGCTGAAAAGACAATGCCGTGTACTGGATAGAGGCCTACTTTTGTAGTCAGGAAGACCTGAATTCAAGTCTTTGTGAACAAAAGAGAAAAATATTGATTTAGAGTCAGAGCCACAATCCAGGTCATGCTACTGACCAGCTGCAACCTTAAGCCAATCCTGTTCCCTCCCTGTCCTCAGTTTACTGATCTTACAGAAAGAAGGAGATGGGACTAGGTGTCCTCTGAGCTTTCTTCCGGTTTGAAATTGAAGAGGTTCAGAGGCTGGTGGGGAAGGGGAAAGGGGCCAGAGTTACTTAACCTCTCTTTACTCCAGACAGCTCTCTAAGATGTAAATTACAGCTAACTTGGCATTGGTGGCAATGGAGGAGTCATCATATGGATAAAATAAGAAATACAGATAAAAGAAAGAAAAGTTTACTTCTGCTATCCAATAATGTGATAATGTAAGTAACATGTTTGATTTTTCTACCCTTACAAAAAAATGAGACATATTCATAGGGAATAACATGATGTCTAGCTAACAGGTCAGTATATATAGTACCTTGCATAGCCCCCTCCCCCCAATACCAGAAAGCAGTTAGATGGCTCAGGGGATAGTGCACTGGGCCTGGAGTCAGAAAGACCTGATTTAAAATCCTCCAGCCTTAGACACTCACTAGCTGTGTGACCCTGGACAAGTCACTTAACCTCTATTTGTCTTAATCCACTGGAGAAGGACATGGCAAACCATTCCAGTATGTTTGCCAAGAAAACTCCCTACAGGGTCAGGACTGAACATTAATATCACAAAGAATGTCACGTTTTTTCTTCTTCTTTCTCTCCTTAGACTAATGTTATCCCTTGGAATTTTCTGACAGATGGTTGTTCTTTTTAAAGAGCCAAAAACACTTTACATTTTTCGACACCTTATTAACACGTTCCATCCCCACCCCCACCCCCCCATCCTTTCTGCTTTCCACAATTCAAAAAAGACAGGGCTAGGAGTCGGCATCAACATGCTCTGTCTTTTAAACAGAAATCACTTGTACAGGAACCAAAGCAAGGCCGCCAATTCCTTAAGGCTTCAATAGTGCTCAGACTCTGAATTTAAAAGACAGTATCTATGAAAGTATTTTGCTAATGAAGAAAAAATTGCTGTCTTCCTTTCTTTGAAAACTCATAAACTTAGACGCGTTGGGAAGTGGACTACCCAAGAGAGACAGTAAAAAGCAGCTGCAGGCTTCCCCCTCCCCTTGAGAGTCATAATCAGTTGGGAACATTCCTGAAGGCAACAGGTAGTCTCCTCAGAAGTGGTCTCCAGGACGTTGAGGTTGGCTGAGTTAGCCCACGGCCCTAGGGACTCGGGAAACTGGTTTACCAAGGAAACTGGTACACACCGCAAAGCTGAGGGGGAGTCTAGCCCAGCCACCAGGGGGGAAAGAGGTGGTGAACCTGAAAACCGAAGGTCTGGGAGGAAAAAAACCACAGATCGTTCTGGAGAAAAGTGAAATGGAGATTAGTTGGGGAAGTAAATAAATGAGGAGAGAAAATCGGATGCGGGGGGTGGGGGGAAGGAAGGGTGACCAAGTAAACAGGAAAATTAGGGGAAAAGAATGGAGGAGCACAAAAGCACTGAATTTGGCGTCTGACTGTCAGAATTCCAAACCAGGTCGTGCTCCCTCACTAGATGCGAGCTTAAGCAAGCCCTGTTCCCTCCTTGGCCTCAGTTTACCCTTCTTACAAGAAGACAGGGATGGGGACGAGAGGTCTCCCAGCAGTCTTAAAGCTCGGAATCCCTGGAGGTTCGGAGGGTGGTGGAGAGCGGGAAAAGGGCCAAAGGCAGGGCGCGCAAGGGGTAAGGGCACTCACTGTGCGGGTCGCTCTTCTCGCGAATGCCGTCCACATGACCATCGGGATGGATGCGCAAGAAGAAGCCCCCGTTCTTGCAGTACAGCCGCTTGGGGTCCTTGAAGTGGCCCGGGGGGAAGGCGCCCCCGCCGCCTCCATCCCCGGACAGGGCCGGCAACGTGGTGATGCTGCCCGCGGCCATGCCGCCGCTGCGGGACGGGCCTGGCGCCGCTGCCCGGGCCCCCCGAGCTGCCAGCCGCAGAGGGGCGCGGCCCCTCCCGCGGCCCCCCAGCCTCGAGGCCAGCTGGCTCCCGCCCTGCCCGCGGCCCCCCGCCTCCCGCCCCAGGCCCGCTCCGGCTCTGCTCAAGCTCTGGGCCCCCCCCCCCCCAACTGGCTCCCGGCTCAGAGATCGCCGGCGCCTCCGCCCCCTGCACCCAGGCCCCGGGGCCTCGGGCTCGGTGCACGCACACACACGAACTCACTCACTTAGACCGACACATTCACGCACACACTAACATACTGGCACAGAGTATCCCCACACACACTGACACACTAGCAGGGCTCTCTCTCGCCGATCTATACAAAGTCAGACCGCCGATCACACACACGAACCCACTAAGCGACACACATCACCACACACCCACACGAACACACTCAGGCTAACACTTTCAGAATAGCACACCAACACACACTAGCATACGCACTCAGGTTAACACAGCTACACTAACACACACACCCTAACATTCAATTTAACATACCAGAAAGTACACAACACACACACACACACACACACACACACACACACACTCACTCACTCACTCATCCTACAGAGAAACCAACACTAATATACACGAAGACATTAAAATGAGCACACACCCTAAGAGCGACACTCCCCCTAACACTCAGGTTAGCACACTCAGAGCCGTAGTCACGCCCTCCAGCCAAGAACCTACACCCTAAGATCACACTCTGACACACGCAATCAATCCCCGAAGCCCGCTGCTGCGTCTTCTTGCCTCTCTCTCCTTCCCTCCTTCCCGGCTGGGCTGGCAGCCTCAGTACACGAGGACCTGGGGGTGGCCTCGGGGCCCAATGCGCTCTGGGCCAAGTGTGCGCCCCAGAGCGGCTCGCTAACGGCTCCAGCCCCGCGCACTCACCGCTAGCAGCAAAGCGGAGCGACTTCCCCGAGCCAGCCAAGGAGGGAGGGAGGCGGAGGGCTGTCCCGGGGCTGTGTTCATGCCCCGAGCCTGTGCTGCGGCGTCACTTCTCCTCCCTCCCCGCCCCCTAGACCCGTCCGTCCGCCCCCAGTCCTGGCCCCCCTTGCCCGCTGCCCCGTGGCCAGTCCTTGCTATCCTGCGCCGCCCCCGGGACGTCTGCCTGCCGAGCCCCGGGAGCGCAGACAGTGCAGGAAAGTAGCAACCATAAGACCTGAACAGATTCGAACGAGGCGACCCCTTTTCCCTGGCCCCCTTTCTCCCTTTCCGCCCGCTTGGAGCACACTGTTTCTCTACTGGTTGAAACTTTCCTTGGGCGGTGACTCAGCTTTCAAAGCCTCAATGTAGCTCTCACTTCAACTGTCTTTTCTCCCCTCTATTTCAATCCAGAGAAGCTACTTTCTCGCCGAGCCCAGGTTCGATTCCTGTCCAAATGATCAGTGCCCTAGATTATAGAGTTGAAATCAATAACCTAGCCTAACCTTCTTCCTCATTTTACACTTTAGAGGTGAAATCAGTTTGTCAGCGGCCACATAAGCGGGTTAGTAATTATCCAAGGCCCCAGAGCGATCCATTCCGGGAACTTCTGCTGGTCTTTTCCTCCATCCTTTGGCTCTGCGTCTGTTTCGCCTTGTGTAAAAATCGAGCGTTCTTAACCTGTGTGTATTATGAACTCCTTTTCCAATCTGATGAAATCTACTGACCTTTCTCAAAATAATGTTTTAAAATACAAATCATAAATGCATAGGATACAAAGGCAACCAATTACACTGGAACAAAGATGTAATTTTTCCCCCAGCCAAATTCCCAGACCACTTTGGAGATCCATAGACCCTAGTTTAAGAATCCTTGGGTTAGGGGCAGTTAGGTGGCGCAGTGGATAGAACACCGGCCCTGAAGTCAGGAGGGCCTGAGTTCAAATCCAACCTCAGACCAAACGCTTGACTGTGTACTAGCTGTGTGACCGTGGGCAAGTCACTTAACCCCGATGGCCTCACTAAAAAAAAAACCCAAAAAGCAAAACAAAAAAAAGAATCCTTGGGTTAGAAGTACCTTCTTCCTTTGACCCAACAATACCACCTTCTAGGCCTGTGTCCCAAAGAGATCATAAAAATGGGGAAAGGACCCACATGTACAAAAACATTTATAGCAGCTCTTTGCGTGGTGGCAAAGAATTAGAAATTGAGGGGATGCCCATCAATTGGGGAATGGCTGAACAAGTTGTGGTATATGAATTTAATGGAATACTATTGTGCTATAAGAAATGATGAGCAGGCAGACTTCAGAAAAACCTGGAAAGACTTATTTGAACTGCTGAGTGAAGTGAGTAGAACCAGAAGAACATTGTACATAGTAATAGCTACCTTACGTAATGACTGACTTTGATAGACCCAGCTCTTCTCAGCAATGCAAGAATCTAAACTCCAAAAGTCTCACGATGGAAAGAAAATGCTATCCACATCCAGAGAAAGAATTATGGCGTCTGAATGCAGACTAAAGCACACTATTTGCTCTTCTTTTCTTTCCTTGTTACGTTTTGTTTCTTCTACCTTGTGGTTCCTCCCATTAGTTCTAATTCTTGACTAATGGGAAAATATGCTTAATATGAATGTATAAGTAGAGCCTATATCAGATTGCATGCCGTCTTGGGGAGGAGGGAGGAGAGGGAAAAGGCGAAAATTTAAAACTCAAAATCTTATGGAAGTGAATGTTGAAAACTAAAAACAAACTTTTTTTTTTTTAAAAAAGAAGTATCTTCTTGATCTAACTCATATGAGTTCAAGATTGGAGTGTTTCTCCTTGGAAGTCAGTCTTGAAATCCTCCACTTCAAAACAACCCTTTTATACTGAGATATATTGGTGAACAAAATGCTTTGAATTATGGGACTATAGGATTTGTAGATGGAAAGCTCCTTAGGGGATCTAGTAAAGCAGGTGCTATTATTATCCCCATTTTAAACTGAGGCATAGAGGTAAAATGATTTGTCCAATATCACACAGGTGGAAAGGTAAAGTAAGTAAAAATCAAGTCTCCTAACTCAAAATAAAGACTTCTTTTCCCTAGATCACAGTGACCCAAGAGAAAAACTGAAATTAAAGGTGGGCTGAAGTTTCCATATTTTTAGCAAGGAGAGAAAAAAAAATGTAATGGGGCAGGAGTTAGAACCCAGCATATTTTAAGTGTAGTCTAAGTGGGCTGATCATCCCTCTTGCTGCTACTGTATTATTTTCTTTATTCAGACTTGCATCCTGGATTTTAAAGCAATCAAGGGGCATGCTCTAATATTGCCTTATTAATTACTAAAATTGCAACATCCCACATTAATTAATAAATTAGCTTTGAGCCCCTGCCCCATTTTGGTAAATAACTTTTATTAATTAAACTGGAAAAAAAATTTTCCTATAATTTTTCTAACATCTGTCTTCCCACATCAAATCCCCTATTTTACTAGCCTTAAACCAACAATAACAAAAAAGGAACGAACAATTATGTACACTCTATGATCTGTGAGAAAGGTCACAGCTAAAGTCACCTTTAACCATCATGACAATTACTGACTTTTCCGTTCTGAAATCCCAGGCCCATCATTCAGTTCTCTCAGGATACCACTTAAGGTCTTTCCTCAAAATTTCTCTTCATATTTCTTCAAAAGATAAGTGTTAGACCCAGTTCTGTAAGGAAACAATTTTTTTTTACTTATACAAATATTTTTCTATTCCCTCCTCAGCCATTACTGCTAACAATTCCTCCAGAATAACAAAATTGTCCTCCGACAGAATTCTATAAACTGTTAGTGTCCAAAATTCCATTGTTTCTTAATGATTCTGTATAATACTATCCATGGTATCTTTGGGAAAGGCTATTGGAACTGGTGTTACAGTTTCAGTCCCAGAAACTCATTTGGGGTGCGCAAATTCATATTAATATTACATACAACACAACACAAATCACCACAGATAAAACAGGTAAAAGCACTTTCTTTTCGTCAGACATCGTGCTAAGCAGTAGAAATTCAATTGAAAACAAAAAAGATTGACATTCCCTGCCCTCAAGGAGCTTACATTCTAGCAAGGAAGGACAATACATAAAAGGGAGCAGAAAAATATGTGTGGGGGTGGGGGTGGGGATGGGGATGGGGAAGTTAGTTACCCATGAGGGCATGGGACCAGGTATGGAGAGATGGGCTGCATCATTCTTTTGAAGAAACCATATTATTAGTGTTTTGGGGTACTAACATTAGCTAAAGATGATATAATATATGCATAACACTTCATATAGGTCTAAGGACCAACACAGGTACTCTCTCTATAACTTATAGGCCCAGTGGGCTGCCTAGAGCACTGAGAGCTTGTGACTTGCCTATGGGCATGTAGTAGGTCACGCGGGATTTAAACCCAGATCTTCCTGGCTCTGAGAGAGGACATCTCTCTAAATACTATGCTGTCTCTCAACACTCCATGTTCACATCACAATCTGCAAATCAACATTACATACAAAATATAAGAAGAAATAACGTCTAACTATGAGTGATCACTTTTGTTTTTTCCTGCAGCATCATGTTAGCCTACAGACATCTAATGGTTATGAGTTGTGTGTGTGCGTGCACGTATGCGTGTTATACGTATGTGTGTGAGATCCATATTTTTCTGTATATTTATACGCAACTGAACCTGTTGATGGTACAGGCCCCCTGTCTTAAACTTTATTGTCTCTTTTCCCTAGTTGTTCCAAAACAGAATGCTTTAAGCAGGAAAGTCACTGCTGGGTTCAGCCCTTCTCTTTGTTTGACTTGGGGACTTAGTCAAGTTATTGCATTTCTATGTGCAATTTCTATTTTGCCCAAAGCAACACTTGTCTCAGGAGTTCTGTGTGCTGGCAAGGAAACAAACTGGGCTTCAAGAGGCAATCAGCCAACAAGCATTTATCAAGCACCTACTGTGTGCCAGGCCCTGTGCTAATGTTGGGGATACAGAGAAAGGCACCCTTCTTGAGCTACTGTTTCAATGTAGCAGGCATCCTTCCCAACCTGTGGCTGTGCATGTCAGTGAACTGGAGTTACTGGCAATCAGAAAGCAAAGCTAGACGGGAAGAACGAGATATTCCATCTCTTGGTTC